GTATTAACTTGCTATCCCGACAAATGGAGATACGTCGAACAGCAGTGACTCCTTGGTCTGAAAGGTTCATCTGAATATCTGATTCATCTTCAGACATCAGATCAATCTCAGATATCACACCACGTGATGAGTTCAAACTTCCATGTGGTGTGACTGTGATTTCAATGTCTCCCAATTTCTTTGCAGCTAGAAGTTTTGCCGACTGTTGAGGTGAGGCAGTTTCTACAAGTAGGTCTCCTGACCTCAATTTTTGTGTTTTTTTTCAGGTGTCCAATTGTTGATTCAAATAACTTCTGAATCAAGAAAGGGGAGCATTTTGACAAAGGTTTTTCTCCAGTAGCATGCACTATTAAGTAGGATGGGTGACTGGCAGTGTTTTCTGGCTTGTCTTTATTTATAAAGTTTTAGGATCCATGATTAAATAATAATATTTCAGCTCCTAGTGACCCCACCCACCATGGGGATGCTGTCACATGGGAGATTCCCATAGACCGTCACACCAGTATTTTCCAGAAGCTATACCCTCACAATGCAGTCAAGAAGAGCACATCTTGTCTGACGTGTCCGCCTGGTCTGCATTGATCAGTTGACTCCAGACCGAGGTCAAGAATGACTCAACGACCAGCCGATTGACTCAAACGGAGCCTGATTTGAGCCTCCTGTTTATACGAAGCAGGGGCCAAAGCAGTGTGTTAGAAATGTTATGTTGCCCCTCAACTACCAGGATCCCCCTTTCTGGCATAAGGGATACCATGCATGGCAAACACATGGGTAAGCATTCAGATCCCAGGGATGGTAAAGAAGAGTTACTAAACCATCTCTGGGAGGTCCCCTCACCACGGACAGGAACCCACATCGAGGGAACCCCTTCTGAGGGCAGGATGAGGGAGGTCTGCAAAAGGTTGCTTTATTTCGTAACAGGATGCGTCATAGACATTGCCCGAGAAGGGAACACTTTTACCATGAATAGAAGAAATCTGCCTGTACAGTATTGGATCTGCTGTAGGTTGGGGCACTTTCCCGCAAGTACAGGAAGAGCAGCATTAGACACTGTGCAATAACATCTGGTCAAGTACAAGAGCGGCAGGTGTGCTGTTTTGAGTTGTTTGTTTGTTTCGTTTTTGTTTTTTGGCACAAGAGCCACATAGGCTATGCTGCTCCAAAGCAAATGGTTAAAAAAAATTTTAACATGATACATAACATATGACAATAATAAATAAATAACAGCAGCAATAATAATAAATACACACATAATAAGTACAAAAACACAACAACACAAAAAAATGTAATAAATATATAAATAAATAAATAAATAAATTTCTTTATACAAATTAATGACTTTTAAAAAGTCCAATACATAATAACAATTTGATCTCTGGTCCAGAATCTCTTTGAAACTTGCATTTCCGAAATGCTGTCTACGCCTGATCTCAAAGGCAGAGCATTCGAGCAGTATGTGTTTTATAGTAAGAGGACAGTTGCAATACTGGCATACTGGCTGCTCCTCACCCTTCAAAACGTATTGATGAGTCAACCGAGTATGTCCAATCCTCAGACGACTAAAAACAACCTCAGATCTCCTGTCATAGAATTTCTTGTGTCCAATTTTCTATCGTAAATTTGACATCATGCAGTTATTGTAAATTTCTGCATTCCACATATTTTGCCATCTCTCCACTAGTCGTTTTTTAACAACTAGCTTCAAATCCCCTTCTTCAATAAACATTGTATGCTGAGGAGGGCTTGCTGACTTTGCAGCTGCATCAGCTTCTTCATTACCTCTTATACCTACATGGCCTGGGACCCAACAAAATTTTACAAAAATATTACTCGCACAAAGATGGCAAAAAAGTTTATGGATTTTAATCACTATTGAGTGAGAACTAGGTTCATATGAGATCAAAGCCTGAACTAACTGAGTGCACTAACTGTGCCAGTGTAAATCACACAGCGACGATGACCTTTTTTGATTACATACTTTAAGGCTAAATAAATAGCCTGCAGCTCTGCAGTAAATATGAAAGAATTTGTTTCAATTTGTTCTGCCACGATTTCATCCTGGCAAACGAAGGCTGAGCCAACATAATCATCCGATTTAGAACCGTCAGTATAAATAGGAATTAAATTCTTGTCTTCGTGTTGAACTTCTGCAAAGTGCTGTCTGTAGACGTAGTCTGGGGTGGATTCCTTAGGAAACTGCTTTAAGCTAAAGTCAATATTTATTGAAAGAGTTGACCAGGGTGGTATACTATCAACCTCATGCTGTGAAATGTTGCCCATTTTCAGGTCAATCATGCTGCTTACATTCTCCATTCTTATGTTGAATGTAGGGACACAGCTTGGGCAAGCCACAAATAATGTTGTCAGATGGGTATCTGATACTGTACAAAAAACTGAAGGTTTAGTTTGGGATTTCTGCTTAATATAATAATAGAGAGACAACTGTTCTCTCCTGAGTGATAGTGGAGGCTCATAAGCATCCACGTACACACTTTGTACAGGAGAGGTGCGAAAGGCACCAGTGTGCACAAACGCAGAGCTTGATGATGGATTGGATCCAGCACCCAAAGAGTAGATTCTCACGCAGAGCCATTAACAATGCACCAATAATCCAGCTTAGAGCGGACAAGGGCCCTATAAATCCTGAGCATAAAACATTTGTCTACTCCCCAGGATGAGCAGCATAGGACCTTTAAAAGGTTTACAGCTTTTAAACATCTACTCTTCAAATTGCGCAAATGTGGCAAAAATGTCAGTTTATGGTCAAACAAAATGCCCAAAAATTTAGCCTCATTCACAATTGGGATTTTAACCCCATTTAAATAAATTTCGGGATCCAAATGGAAACCACGCCTTCGACAAAAGTGAATGCAAGAGGTCTTCTCTACATTGCAACTATAACCGTTATTATTTGACCAATTGTCTACGCGATTTAGGGAGGTTTGCAGTTGTATCTCAATGAAACTCATGTTACTAGACTGGCAGGAGATCTGAAAAGTCATCCACATACAAAGAGTGTTTCACACTGGGAGGAAGACAGTTAGCTATGCTGTTAATTTTGATTAGGAACAGAGTCACACTCAAAATACAACCTTGAGGTACGCCTTCTTCTTGGATAAAAGGCCTAGATAGTGTGTTGCCCATCCTAACTTGGAATCTTCGATTCTGTAGGAAGTTTTTTATAAAAATCAGCATATTACCTCGTAATCCGAATTCATGCAAATCGCGAAGTATCCCATATCTCCAGCATCGATCGTAAGCCTTCCCTATATCAAAGAATACAGACACTAAATGCTGTCGTCAAACAAACGCTTCGCGTGTAGATGTTTCTAGTTTTAATAAATTGTCTGTGGTACTTCTGTTCCTATGAAATCCACTCTGATGTGGTGAAAAGTATTCCTTTTTCTCTAAGAGATACATTAGACGTCTGTTTACCATTCTCTCGAAAAGTGTACAGAGACAACTTGTCAGAGAGATTGGTCTGTAATTAGAGGGATTCTTGAGATCTTTACCTGGCTTGGGAATGGGGATAATGATAGATAGCCTCCCAGAGTCAGGAAAAGTATGTTCTGTCCATATTCTGTTAAACAGATTCAGGAGATTAGAAAGGGAATTGTTTGACAGATTTTTAATCATGCTGTAGTGGATTTTATCCGGGCCTACAGCTGTATTCCCTGAGCGAGAAATCGCTGTATGTAGTTCTGTGCTGGTGAATGGCACATTATATTCCTCATTAGATGAGGAGTGGAAGTTTAAATATTGTTTTTCACTTTGGGCTTTGTAAGCTTGAAAATTCCTATTAAAAATTACATTGCTGGATGAAAAAGAAAACGTTTCACCCAACGTATCAGCAATATCCTGTATATCGCTGATTATTGTGCCATTATTTTCCAGCATGGACAGAGAGTGAGAAGCATATTTCCCATTAATTTTATGGATTTTATCCCAGACTGCTTTTGAGTTAGTGGAAGATGTTATGCTAGAAACATACCTCCTTCAAGAATCCCTTTGGCTTTGCCTTCTTACTCTTCTGGCATTTACCTTCGCTTTTTGAAAAGCTATAAAATTTCTAGCAGTGGGGTATCTTCTAAAAATTCCCCATGCTTTCTTTTGTGCTTTAAATGCTGCCTCGCAATTCTGATTCCACCATGGCTTCAGATGCTTTGGGTATCTTGTTGATGTCTTTCCCATTGTTTTTTCAGCTGCACGAATAATACTGGAAGTGACAATTTCAACTGCATCATTGATATCAGCAATATTCACCATTTCCTCAGTGACGTTGTCCATAGAAGAAAAAACAGGCCAATCGGCAGTTTCCAATTTCCAGCGTGGTGGACAGGCTGTTTCACAGCTTTCTCTGCCTCGATATTTTAAAAATATTGGGAAGTTGTCACTGGAAAGTGGATTAGATCCAACCTCCCATGAAAATGCTGAAAACAGATTCGGAGTTGCTAATGAGAGATCAATGGCAGTGAATGTTCTTGTTGGGGCATGGAAGTATGTCACTTCTCCAGTATTAAATAAATACATTTGCTGATTGCCTATGAGTCGTTCTACAGCTCTGCCTCAACAATTGATGTCGGGACTGCCCCACATAGGATTGTGACCATTGAAATCACTTAGTAAAAGAAATGGAGTTGGCAGCTGCATCCAATTCATCCTCACTGACTTTGACATCTGGTGGCAAGTATATAGAACAAACTGTGACAGTTACTCCAATAGAAATCCTGACTGCCACAGCTTGCAAATCAATGGTTATTTGTACCAGTAAGGATGGAATGCGATTTCAATCCAGAATAGCCACACCACCACTGGCACGGTTGTGGCTATCATCATCCTTGCGGTAAATTCCAAATCCTTTTAAAGTAATTCCCTCTCCAGGTTTCAGATGTGTCTCCTGGAGTGCCACACAGAGAGATGAGGTAGATGATGTCAAATGTTTAATGTCAGAGAAGTTTTGCGGAAACCACGACAGTTCTATTGGATTATTTTATAATCCATTATGTGTTTGAGGCAGCATTCTTAGAAAAAGTGTCCCTCTTCAGTTTAACTGATGATTTTCCTTTTAGAGGAGACGTTAGTTGGGTCACCTCCTTATTAGTCTCTTCATGAGAGATATCAGAGAACTCACTCATAGACTGAGCCTCTGATTTTTTAGATTTAGAGAGAGCTGCTTTCACTCTCTGTTTGTTTAGTGGGTTCTTACTAGCCTTTTTAGATCCCAGGTTTCTTGTAATTACCCCTGTTTTAGGCAGGGGTGTTTTTCCTTTTGTGATCTCCTTTTCTGGTGTTTGCATAGACGGGAGTATTAAACATTTCGCATGGCGAGTAAGAGATTCGCTTGGGGAGACAGAGATATCGGTTTGAACCCCACATGTCTTTGTGGATTTCAACACAGAAGCAAATGTTTTCTGTTTCACTGCTGTGCTTTGAGTGACCATGCGCCGAGCCTCTGGATATGGTATGTTGTTAACGGTTTTTACTCGCTGGATCTCTTTCTCTCTCTGCCATGCTAGGCATTTTCGAGAGTAGGCGGGATGGGCATCTTTGCAATTCACACAGCATGGAGTAGTGGTACACTCAGTACTGTCGTGACCTTCAGTTCCACACTGTGCGCATATGCTTTTCCCACGACACGATGTTTGTGAATGTCTAAATTGCTGACATTTAAAGCAACCCAGCAGATTTGGAACATAAGGGCGAACTGGGCAGCGCAGATAACCTGCTGTAATAACAGATGGCAAAGTCAGTTTATTAAATGTCAAAATAAGATGTTTGGTGGGAATCAACTTGCCATCTCGACGAATGGAAATGCGTCGGACAGCAGTGACTCCTTGATCTGAAAGGCCAATCTGAATATCTGATTCATCTTCAGATATCAGATCGATTTCAGATATTACCCCACGTGATGAGTTTAGGCTCGCATGTGGGGTGACAGTGACTTCCATTTCTCCTAGGGTCTTTGTTTCCAGAAGTTTTGCCGATTGTTGTGGGGAAGCTGTTTCCACCAGTAAATCTCCTGATCTTAATTTTTGTATTTTTTTCAACTGTCCAATGGTTGATTCAAACAATTTTTGAATCAAGAAAAGAGAAACTTTAGCCAAGGGTTTTTCTCCGGTTTAGTGCACTACTAAGTATGCTGGATCAATGGAGATTTTTTCGTTTGTTTTTGTTGTTGGTGCACAAGAACTTTTTGAATTTTTTGAATCCATAATTAGAGAAAAAATTCAGCTCCTAGTGACCCCACCCACCATGGGGCCCAACAAAGGGATGCCGTCACATGGAGTACTTCCATAGACCATCACACCAGGGTTTCCCAGGAGCTATACCCTCACAATGCAGTCAAGAAGAGCACATCTAGACTGACGTGTCCGCCCGGTCTGCATCAATCGGTTGACTCCAGGCTGAGGTCAAGAATGACTCAACGACCAGCCGATTGACTCAAACGGAGCCTAATATGAGCCTCCTGTTTATCCGAAGCAGGGGCCAAAGCAGTGTGTTGGGGACGTTATGTTGCCCCTCAACTACCAGGATACCCCTTTCTGGCATACGGGACACCACGCACGGCAAACACATGGGTGGGCGTTCCGATCCCAGGGATGATAAAGAAGAGTTACTAAACCATCTCTGGGAGGTCCCCTCACCACGGACAGGAACCCACATCGAGGGGATGCTGTTCTGAGACACCGATGATTATGGTAGTGAAAGGCTGCCTTTCCCCATACAGCAGAAGCATAACAAATAGTGAGCAAAAACATGCAGTCATAGATGGCATTGACAGCTTCATGATCAAGTCCCCAGCTGTTCCTGGCAACTCGAAGCAGATTGTTTAAAAAAGGTTGGTACAGTTAGTTACATGCATAATGTGTTTCTTCCAGGTTAGCCTGTGATCACACCAAAGAAAGTGATATGCTTCTCTATTTTAATGGAAGAGTCTTTGAAGCATATCCACAGAACATGTCAATACAAATTTGTTATGAGTAGTCAGCTGTGAAAACAATGCCTTTAGTCTTCGTTGCATTGAATATTAACTTATTACTGACACCCCATTCATCTAATTTTGTCAAAATATCATTGGCAGCAGTCTCTATCATGCGTCTAGAATTGACTGGAAAGACAAAAAAGGCATCATTGGCGTAGGCAAAGATCCTGTACTGGTGACCAAACTCAAGGCAGAGAAAGCTGTCAAACAAAATTGTCTAGAACAGTGGGTCACAAACAGCCCTGCAGGCATCCCCGTTGGAGCTAGTTGAAGAAAGGCTGTTTACCTATTCTAATTGTAGCCACTCTATCATTAACGTAGTCCTTTACTAAACTGAATAAATTTTCCAGGCATCCGTTTTCACTCAGCTGGTTTAGGATCTGTGGCCACCATGCTGAGTTAAATGCATTTTTTTAGATCTATGCTAAATCCAAACATGTAGGCATGCTCAGAAAGTAGATCTTTGATGTGAGTCTTGAAGTCCATCAAGGCTTCAAAGAGGAGGTACCTCTTTGCCTCCTAAATCCATACTGGGTGCTATGGTAAAGTCTCCAAGACTCCCAGAACCAATAAGGTCTGTTAAATAAAAGTTTGTCTAACACTTTGCCTAAGGACGACAGAAGAGAAATGTTCTGCATGTTACTAACTGTGAGCGGCTTTCCGCACTTTTTAGGAATGATACTCAATTGCATATTTTTTCAGGGATGAGGGAAGATGCCCTTCTGCAGGCAGGTATGAAAATTTTGAGGTCTGGCCGAGCACCGCAGATCTGAACGATGTCAGCATTAATCTGACCCAGACCTGCAGCTTTCCTCCTTGACATGGTGGCAATAATATTGGTAATAATAATTTCCAAATAGGAGAATAGCAGATTGTCTCCCAAAAACCTTTCAGAATGATCTATATTCCTAATTCGAGCCTGGTCTGGTGTATCGTTGTCAATAGGGTCAGAAGGGCAGAAGACTTCAAAAAGTCTACCCATAGTAATTTTGAGGTTGTCTGTGGTGTCACCAATATCTTCACTACTTATAAAGTTTGTAGTTTTCAGTTTGTTGACGCTGAGTTTATAAATGAAATTCCAGGGATTGCCACCAACCCTGGAGCAGAAGGCACTCCATGACTCAAGTTTTGATTGCTTAATCCTTTCCTTGTATACTTTTTGGTGTTGGAGGTAACGACGATAGAACTCCTCTCTTTGATGGCCGTGGCAGCACTGAAAATCTCTCTGCAACCAATTGTTCATTCTGCACATGACTGCCAGTTCATCACTCCACCAAGGGTTCCCTCCTTCCACTTCACCTCCTGGGAATGGATTTGTTGCATGTGTCTAATATGCTTTGAATAGTGGTTTCAAGATTCTCCTCTACCTGAACCGAGAATAACCATGGTTAGGGAGTTGGCGGCATCCTTGCAAAAGATCCCTGAACCAACTCCAGTCGGCAGAACTTGTGTTGTAAGGACAAGAGACAATTAGATCTTGTTCTGAACATGAGTAGGTGTAATAAAGATCAAATCGGTAATGTAGTGGTAGAACTGGTTCAAGTGCGGTGTAAGGAGGAGGTATAATGTTGTGCTCTTCTACTGTCGAAGATCAAAATGTACATGGCGAAGGCCACTATTCTTTATATGATCAGAATATTCTACGTTTATTGAATTTTCCAAATGACACAAACTAGAGGAATATGTTACTGTTAATTGTGTACCCTGAAAATGGACCCTATGACATTCAAGACTTTGTTCCTTCTCTGAATAATGTTATCGACCTGAAAGACATTGTTCACTTTGGTGCTAGTGTAGTTACTCACATTTACATTATAGGAATAAAAATCGAAAATAGTACAAGTGCCTTACTGAATTTCAGAGAGATACAAGTAAAAGGTAGGAAGTGTAGAATTATTCCCATAGAAAACTGGAAAGTAGTGATTAATATACATTGGTTACCACCAGTATTGTCACATAATCTGGTCAATAGACACTTTAAAAATTACAGAAGAATTTTAAAGTTCAAATTTTTAAAATTGTTGGTGCCTGGGCTGGTGCATGTCCTTACAAACAAAAGGCAAATTTGGTTAGAGATCAAACAGGATCAGTACCAAAGTATTACCTTATTTTATAAGGGTGAAAAGTATGGCTGGATCAGTTGTCATCGTGGGCAGGCCACTACTAAGTTATTGATGCAAACAATTTGCTCATATCAGGAGAAATTGTTGCAAAAAAGTGCAAAACATGCAAAAAATTTGGGCACTTAACCAAAAATTGTATTGGAAAAACATATGCTTTGGCAATGACTGTCGAAACACAAGGTGTGCAGCTGTTGACAAAAAGCTGGATAATAATAAGGCAGCAAGTGAGGAGACAATGCCAATATTATCTTCAACAGCAAAGCCTACAGCATCATCTTTGGTTAAACAAAACAATAAAGAAGAATTTAACAGGAGGTTAAATTCTTTTTTATTGTTTTGTTAAATGCTGATGAGAGACAAAACTCGTCCAGAAGTGACTCATCACACAAAGGCTGGAGGTAAGCAGATATAGTCCTACAGCTTTATTTATTAAAAAAAGTATGAAATTGTTAATGAAATTAAGAGATAGTGGTGATATTACATCCAACCTTTTACAACAGTTATATAAAAAATCAATACAAAAATATTCCAAAAGGAATTGGGTATCCCAACTTTCTAAAGTGATTAATAGTTTTGATTTTTCAATTGTTCCGTTAACTCCATCATATCAGAAAATCAGGTGGCAATAAATTTATGCCAAGGGATAATAACACTCATTCCGAAAGCGCAAAAAATGCCCAATCTAAAAGAAATTAATAATTGGAGGCCACTATCCCTATTAAACACAGACTATAAAATTCATTTACTTGCCAGAACTAAGTGAAGATATGTGTAACCAATAAACCCGTAATATATCTGAAATCTTATTGACACCTGATGTAGAAGATATTCGTTCACGTTTATTACCAAACTGATATAGATTGATCTTAAACTATCCAAATATTAATAGTTATAAACTATCGAACCTACCTTTTGGAGTGAAAATATTTTTTATCCAACTTTTCTTAACACAGAAATATTAATGAAAAATAACAAGTTTTATGTATATGCTGACAATTTACACCCAAGATGTAACAAAGCATTGTCAAAATATCATTGATTTGTGAATGTGAAAAGAGTTACAATTTAAGGAAAAAATTTGATCTTTTAAGTTTAAATAACTGTGTTTCGGTAAACGAGATATACAATTTGTTTCATGAAGCTACAACTTGACTTATTAATTTATATAATTATGTCACAAACTTTGTTATAATTTGATGAAAACTATTGTTATATTGTTGTATATAGTATAAGGAAATGTAATTCCCTTTGTAACAGGCTATTGCCTTATACAAATAAAGAGTAATTGAATTGGACTCATCACCCAAAATCCCTCCTGATAAATAAAGGAAATAGCAAAGGAGGAAAATTAAGGTTACTCCATCAGTTAAATATAGTGAAGTCAGGTCTAGACCAGACACTAACACTTATCAAAAACGTTGTGATATGACAGACATTGTTGTAACTACAAATAAATTCAAAGTATGAAACACAATAAATCAAGAAAAAATGGAATGTGAAAATTTATGTGCATTGGATGGCAAGATACTAGCCTTAGCGACAACTGGAATGCCACCGTGTTTAGAAAAAAAATCGATAATCATTTAACTCAGTCTGGTCAAATGGAGACAATAAAAGCAAAGGGGTGGTTATTTTAATTAAAAAGGACTTTGAGATCATTCATGGTTTGGTTTGGTTTGTTTTAGTTNTGGTTCGAATTCTTTATTCGAATTTAATTTTACCTGAAGACGACGTGCTTATTTACGTCGAAAGCGCTCGTAAATTAAAAATAATTTCAAGTATATTTAACGCCTCATAGACTGACGTTCTTGGAAGTTTTGATTGACATAAGTTGGCGTGACAT